GGGGGGGGGGGGGGGGGTCCCACCGGGAGCAGCACCGCGCGGCCCTTACCAAGAACACCGCCGCGATGGCCCCGCTCGGGCGCCGGGTCTTAAACATCACCGCGAGGCGTCTTAGTCATGGCCGTGCGCCCTCTTTCGATCGTCCGGGAGCGAGCTACCGCGCCCGGCCGGCGTGGCGTGCGTGGCGCCCCAGCGGGCACCCGCTTGGAAATACGGGCGCCGGGCGCGCTGCCTATGACGTTGCGCCCTCTATTGATCGGCCGAAGCCGATCGCGCTGCCTTCCTGTTGGGGGGGGGGGGGGGGAAGGCTCACACAGATTTGCCGCGTCTGCCGTTGTCAGGTGTGATGACCGGCCTCCAAAATCGATTGGAAAACCGCTGTAGAGGATCCCTGATGTGTGATTCTGCGCCATCTTTCCATTGGCTAATGCCAATGATATTGGTACCCACACAGTTTTACCCAAGTTCAAAAAATTTGAAAAAGTCATCACGTGCACACATTGCCAAAATACTGAAAAATCAGCCACATGCAAGGGCTCCACGTGTCCGACGCGCTGCCCCGGGCCCATTTTCTGCACTATATTCCTCATATGGTAGACATTAACCAGCTCTATTCACCATTAAAAAATTCGAAAAAAATTCCAAAAAAATTGAGGAATGACAAAACTCGTAGCAATTGAGTCAAATGACAAACCAACTTACAAAATGCGCACAGTTTTGAGCTCTCTTTTTATTGGCAAATCCATACTAAAGTAGTACTAGCAAAATTTCCATCATCCTCAGAAAATTCAAAAAAATCCAAGAAGTCAAATAATTGCTTTTCGGAGAATAATCCTGCAAATTAGCAGAAAAGTTGTACAGGTGTGGGCTTCTGGCAAATTTTTGATGCCATATATACATTTATTACATTACATTACAATGCACGAGCAGAATTTTTGTGCGCGGTGCACTTATCCAAAAAAAATGCCTCCCGGCAATTTTTGTTCGGTGGACTGATTTACTTTAGAAAAATTGTGGAAATGCACAAAGTCCATGCGCAGTGGTTGTATATAGATGCGATCTCCCTGCTTTTTCATTATCAAAAAGCCCCCAAGTTGAGAACTAGGCTGATTTGCGAAATTCTAAAAAATTGGAAAAATGCCAATGATTTAAGTTGTGGAGATTCTGCCTATCTAACTGACTAAAACAGTGCTTAAGGAACGCGATTCGTATCGTTTTCTATGGTTGTTCGATCCGCCAACGCGAGCAAAGCGCTTCCTGTGAAGTTTTCTCAGTTCTAAAAACATATAAAAACCTTTGGGGCCCTGCTTTGGTGGGATAAGATGGCGCATCTGAAGAATCCAGGTAGAAGCTCCCTTAGGGGCCCGCTTTGCGATGCTTGTGCGCACTGTTTTCATTGGCAAACACCGACCAAAACAGCCATGGCAGCCCCCTTCTTCCTTTTGTAAAATTCAACGAATCAGATCGGGCCACTTCTGGGATGACCAGGCTCCGGAACCCGATGCGGAATACCGTCGCCCGGGGCCCCGCCTATAGCTTTGCGCCCTCTTTCCATCGGCCGGAACCGATCGAATCCGCCAAGGCGGCTTCGGGCTCGTTTGCAGAAGTCCCCGCAGATTCCGGCGGCCCGGAGATAATGGGGCGCCGGCGCTTCGTGGTATGCCCCCGCGCGGGGCGCCCTGCCTGCGCGGTTGCGCCCCCTTTCCATCCTCCCGGAAAGCCAGAAAGCTAGGCGCGACAGACACCGTGGGCCGGCGGATCCGTTTCGGCCCGCGCACCGGGCGAAAAATACCGCCGCGGAAAGTCCGACGGATGGTCTTGCGGCCTCCCCCCATCGGGCCCGGGCCGATTAAGTTCTCCCTGGTGGCTCCCGGCGTTGTTTGGAACATCTTGAAAGACGGGTCCTTTGGCGGTCGCGGCCCGGCGGCAGGCCTCGGCGAAGAATGCTGCCGCCTGGCGCGCTGCGTCTGATTTTGCACCCGGAAGCGATGCGATTTTTGCAAGGGCGCGCCGTTCTTTGACGGAGTTGCCCCCCTGGCGGTTTGAGGTAGTGCATCGCTCTGTGCAGTGTAGGTTTGAAGCCTGAGAAGTTTCGGCGAGAGGATCAGCATCAGTTGCCTGCCCGCTTTTCATTTTTCCGCCTAGAAGGCTCTTGCCGTCGTGTTTTACGTCGTTCTTCTACTATTGCAGTTTTGCTTTTGTGAAAAGGACCCGGGCACCAGGTCTGCCGGTTCAAAATTGGCGCCGTCTGTCGGTTCAAAATTGGTGGACCGAGGCACAGCAAGGACGAGACATTTTTTTGTTTTGTTTCTGATCCAATGTTTTACGCTTTCAAGGTAGTTCGAACGTTCTTTTGCTTCGTCGTCTATTTTGGCTTCTGTTGTGGGGTTCTTGTCGTTTTGTCTGAGTTCTTCCTGCATCGTGTTGCTATCAGTCTGACGTGTGTCACGACTACTTCTGCGCGGCGCTTGGTACCAGAAAAAAAGCGAGAAGCAGTAACGTGGTCTACTTCTCTGTATGAAAAAATTACTGCATGAGGCCGGGATGATCGGCGAGTGCCAGCAGCTTATTTGTGTCAACACCCTTAGAATTATTATCGTCCAGTAGCTCGTCGGGGTCATCTCTATCTTAGAGAAAGTAGTTTTAAAAGGAATTTTTGGAAGTAGGAGCTGAGCTAAATTTACTTTTTTTCGTTGAATAAAGAACTCAGGCTAGTACTAGATGACATCTGCAACATGGCGTCGTTATTTTTATTGCCGTTTGTAGCTGCCCGCCCCGTTTGCGGTCGTGGTCAAAAGCAGCCGCGTTCCACGTCTTCGCGTGGCAATTTCATCCGTGATGAGACCACGGCTGAAGGATTTTATTTACCGGGGGAGGAGCACAACGTCCGTCCCCAGTAATCCGGGCAACATGGAAGTCGCCGAGGATAGTTGTACCCACATCCAGCGGGACGAGGGGCCCAGTGCCGACTGGTGTTGCGAGGCAGGGGCGCAAGAACGAAGCAGGCAGAAGGGTTGTCTTGGAAGAAACACTAACAGGTGGAGCAGGGGGCACGGATCGAAGCAGCGCCGAAGAAAGATGAACAAGAACCCCATACTGCAACTGCACCTCGCACTGTCGTGCGCAATGAAATCTTACAAGCGCGGCTCTGCGAGGTCGAGAACCAAACACGGAACAGCAACAATGAAGACCATGTGC